GCTCATTCACTGGAAGTAACTAGCGGTCTGTTTGTTAAACTTCTATGTGAATGGGTCCACAGAAGTGCTCTGTCCCCATAGGAGCCCATTTTGCTTGTTGCTTGGCCTGAGCCCCTTGTCAGCACAGTGTTTCTCAGCAAATTCAGATTCCTGGAGCAGTGGAGTCTGAGCTGTGCCCTTAGCTCTGTCACACAACTCACTGCCACTTTGCCCGTATGTTCTCATCCCTCTTTGAGCCCTACGCCGTTCAGTATCTCACTTATTTCAGTTTTCTAGCACAGAGACCACTCCTGGATTCGTGCACAATCCCAACTGAGATATCTCACTGAAGTAACACGCTGACAGCAGAAGCAGCCCCGAGCTTCCCCATCCTTAAAAAGAAGCTACAAAAGCCCTAAGATCTTGCTGCATGTCCCATGGAAAGCAGCAGCGCAGTGGGTGACCAAGACTATTGTTGTAATGCAGTCTCTTTGCACTCAGGATGTGCTGCAGAATGAGAACGGTGACAGTGTGTGGGACCAAGAGCAGGGAGCAAGTGGGGTGAGCGCCAAAGCAAGTCCAGTGGGGCTGATGCTATAGCATTAGAGCCCACAAAGCTTTCCTCATAAAGGGCAAGCCAAGGTCAGTGTGGTTTGACTGCACTTTGAAGAAATTGCCAGCAAGTAAAAGACTCCAAGATGGAAAGCTGGATTTCAGGCATGTTAGCGAAGAAAGACACTCATGTTCTCTTTAATGGACTTCTCTAGGCTACCCATCTTGTAAAGATCACCTGTGAAACGTCTGCTTTAGCTTATTACTTTATTTTCTGCCAATGGTACTCATTTTTCCTGGCACCGAGTCTTTCCTGAGAGTTATTATCTGAATTACTGTATATTGCAGCTATAAACCAGTTGCCTGTCTGGATGCTCTCACAGTAAAAGGGACCTATCCTGCAAATGGGACCTGGGTCTTGCTGCTTCATCATGGCAGAGTTCACACAGCTGCACACTGCTGGTGCCTCCAGAGCAATTAGCTGAGAGCAGAGACGGCTGAGCACAAAAAGAGGGAAAATAGGATTTGGGATGATTTGGGGGCTGCTAATGCAGGCAGCTGCCCTTGCTGAGAGATGTGTGAGAGCTCCTGGTGAAACGTCAATAGAGCCCACGCTCAGCAAAAAGAGTCCAGGCACTCCAGCAGGACAAAAGTAGTTCTTAGATATTGCGTACCAACATACCTCTAGCCCCTAGTTGTAAAAATTCTTTAGTCTGTCTCCTTTTTATTTGCTTTCTGTATTTGTCTGTTAGAAAGCAAAGGTGTTTAGGCACCAGCCTAAACTGGAGAGAATGTTTCAAGCTTTCCTAAATCGTTAAGGTTGTAAAAAGCCTCTATGATCCCCCAGTCCAACCCCAACCCATCCCACCGTGCCCACTGACAACGTCCATCAGTGCCACATCTCTTGAGCCCTTCCAGGGATGGTGACACCACCACTTCCCTGGGCAGCCTGTGCCAGTGCATTATCACTCTTTCACAGAAGAAATTGTTCCTGATATTCAATCTGAACCTCCCCTGTTGCAACTTGAGGCCATCACCCCTCATCCTATCACTAGCAGATTTCTCTTGTGACATTGGATAAGTCACTGAGTTTTTCTTGCAAGCCCTAAAAGAGGGTTGAAAACATTCTTCACAGGGGATCTGGGACCAGAAGAGTATTTTAAATTCCAATTTATTCACTGGGAGCAACCTGGGGCGAGTATAGCTGATGCCAATTTGTTGTAGAGATGATCCTCCCATTCCCTCCTCATTTTGAGGGTGTATAATGAGCACTCGTGAAATCAAGAGGCAGTCTTGCACCTAAAACATGAGGAACTGTTAATATGCTTGAAACAAAATGGGTGGCCTTAAGTAACAGATGTGTGAAGGCAGCCTCAGAAATGCTTCACAGCATTGTAAAGCTCTTGAGAATGCAGTCAGTGCGACAGGGCTTTCTGCAGATCTTTTCTTCAGAGGTATTTGTTGTGAACCTGGGCATAATGCAGGATGCTCTTGAAGAACAAAAAGGAGTCATCTACAGAGTTTCAAAGGAGAGGTTTTACAATTACAGGTGCTCATAGGGTAGTCTATAGGCAGATTATAGTGTCGGAGTGAATGGCTGATTGAATTTTCCATCGCAGGTTTCTTGTTCATGAACCTGTTGAGAATAAAAGAATTATGTATAAATCTATGCTGAGACTCCAACAAGAACTGAGATGAATGAGGTCTCTCCTTTCCTTTTCTGTGCGCTCGTTCCAGGTTTACAAAACTGCTTGCTTTTACTGTCTCGTCTCGGAATGAAAATTTCAGCAGCCCTGGGCAAGGAGGTGTAGCAGAGTATAAATATTGCAGAGGGATCCTTTGAGTTCTTGTTGTGATGCCCTGATGAAACAAGACTTGAGAATTAGTCCAGGATACTCTTAAACACATCGATAATTTATTATTATTATTTTTTTAATTAAGTCTTAAACAGTGTGGGTTGAAGCGTGCTTAGGTTGGCATTACAAGCAACGTTACACCAGAAGCAGAGACACAAATAGGGACTAATAACACATTTGTAACATTTTACAAGGAGATGGAAGGATGCGTGGTTAAATTTTTTAACAACTCGTGTCTGTGTTCATAGGTGGTTTCTGCCCAGCTGCGGGTAGGTAGCAATAGTTCTTACAAGGCTGGGAACCCATAGTCCACTGATGCCACCATCTGCAGTCATGAATAGTAAATGCCTCCCAGTTAGATACCTGCTTCATTCTGCCACTGTTACAGCATTCATCTTTACTGAGCTGTTCAGGCAACCACAATTGCAGCAGGGAAAGTGAGAGCGGTGCAGAAAGCTTGCACCCCAAAACACAGCTCTGGAGCCTCAGCTCTCAGCACTTGGCAGAGGCACCGTGGACTGCAGTCATCGTCCTTTGAAGCCCTGTTAAAATCAGTGCAGCTAATAGTAACCAACGCAATCAAACATTTGGCTGGCCAAAGCAAATCTGCTTGCTTTGCACAGAGCCAGCACACAGGCTGTGCCTGGAAAGCACTTGCACCATTTTCTGCAGCGTTAGAAGAGAAAATTACATAAAAGCATGAAAGGGAAATCTGAGAAAAAATCAGCTGAGGGTCTTGGGGGAGGTGTACTTCAGAGACTTTTATTTTGCTAAGGGAAAATATTGAACTGCATTTTCTTGCAGGTCATTTTTTGAATTGTGTTTGGTTTTTATGTTCAAAGATAAGCCCAACTGATGCTCTGTTTCCTTTGACTAGCAATCACCCTAGCTATTATCGCTCTGAATTTTCCCATTTGGCACCAACACAAACCATGCAATTCTCCAAATAACCTCTCCTCTCCCTTTCCCTATCTGTTCTGTTTGTATCTAGATTTTGTTAAAGACTTTTCCTTCTTCATGCTAATGGCTGTGCAGAGTCCTCTGGAGGTCAGCTTTCCCAGTGGCGCTCCAGAAGAGCAGTAGCTCTCCTCATTGTGCAGGAAAATAACTTCAAGGAAAAGCTGTTCGTTCAGGAACAAGAAGTGATGTGTTTGAACCATTGATGCCCCTGAGCGTGCCCAAAGAAGGGCAGTGAAGCTATGAAGTCTGGAGCACAAGTCTTATGGAGAGCAGCTGAGGGGATGGGGTTGGTTCAGTCTGGAGAAGAGGAGACTCATGGGAGACCTTCTGGTTCTCTGCAACTGCCTGAAAGGAGGTGGTGATGAGAGGAGGGCAACCTCTGCTCCCAGTAACAGTGATGCAATGAGAGGTGACAGCCTTAAGTAGTGCCAGGGGAGGTTTGGGTTGGATATTAAGAACAATTCTTTCTCAGAAAGACTGGCTGAGTGTTGGCATAGGCTGCCCAGGGAGGTGGTGGAGTCATTGTCCATGAAAGTGCTCGAGAACCATGCAGATATGGCACTGAGGGACATGGCACTGGGTATGGTGGGATGGGTTGGGGTTGGACTTGGTGATCTTAGTGGTCTTTTCCAAGCTTAATGATCCTGTGATTCTGTATTGCTCTCCTTATGGCACAGTCTCATTTTTCTAACCTCCCATCCCCTGTCTACGTCAAGTTAACAATGTGAAACAAAGCAAACCAAGGCCCTTGGTAGCCCCAGGATGGCTGTTTATTAACATCGTACTGCGTGTGCAATCCATGCATCGCATACACACTGTACATAATTAAAAGTCTTAGATCGGTGGCATTCCATGATTAATGCCTTAGGTAGGCATTTTGGTTCCTAATACTAATAGGAAGTGACTTGCTCTAAAGCGTGAGTGGTGCTCAGGCACCTCAGGAGTAATAAAGGTTGCTCTAGGCATATTGCATGATTCCTTGACTCATTAATTATAGCTGCCCAAAGTGGAAAGTTTATAATTAAACATATAGTTTACTCGTCTACTTTTGAGATGAAGTAAATTAAGGTAATTAGATTTATTTTCGATTAAGCATGTGGAGCCATTTACAAAGCACACGGGTGTGTGGAACAAGGAGGTTATTGTGCAAGGAATTCTGTCTTGGGCTCATCTGAGATCCGGTGTGCAATGACGTCATGTTTATAAACAAACTTGTTCAGCTGAATTATCTCTATAGGCAGTTTTTACTCAAAAAAAGAGATGTGTGTATCAGTGAATAGGCTCCTTCACTTGTTTGGCTGGAACTTCCGTTGGGATGCAGCCATTCTTCCCTTTATTTACCTATAAACTGAGCTGAAAGTAAGTGGATTTTCAACTGAAAATATCAGAACAAGCAACTAATAAATTCGCTTGTTCCAATGCAGGCACGTATTGTTAAATGAACAAGGATTATTAGAAGTATATGTTAAGGGTTGTATGTTACTTGTTCATAGCAACTACCGTGATTCTATGATCCTACCTTGATATTTGAATGTGTATGGTAGGAAAGTATCACTGGAAACTCTGAGTTGACACAGAAGATTTTTGTAAGGAATTAATCCTTTGTCCTAAGTCAATGCTTTTAACTTTCAGCCACTCTTTTGACCTTCTTAGATGATCACATGGACCAGGAGCTAACTGGACACACAGACACTAACTGGAGAATCTGGGAACTGCAATCTTATTTTCTTTGCCTTGTATGGTGAGATCCACAGTGAGCAAAATATGTCTCTTTGTTGACGTCTTGACTAAGTTGACGTTCTTTTGTGTTTTTATTTGTTGAATTTTTTTTTTAATTAATGCTATAAAATGAACAAACACTTTGTGTTATCTCTCATCATCAACAGAATCACAGGCTGGAAAAGACCACTAAGATCACCAAGTCCAACCACAGTCTATTCCACCATGACCAATGACCACATCCCTACGTAGAATCATTGTATCATTAAGGCTGGAAAAGAACACTAAGATGGCCAATTGCAAGTCCAACCCATCCCACCATGCCCAGTAACCACGTCCCTCATGGCCACGTCCCCACAGTTCTGGAACATCTCCAGGGATGGTGACTGCACCACCTCCCTGGGAAGCTTGTGTCAATGCATCACCACGTGTTTAGAGAAGAAATTGTTCCTAATATCCAACCTGAACTTCCCTTGGTGCAACTCGGAGTTGTCACCACTCCTTCCAACACTGTCAGCTGGGAAATGAGGCTGACCCTCTGTATGGGAACTGCTGAACCACGGCCTGAACCTCTGATTGATCACCTGAGGTGAGCAATGAGCCAGCCACAGGAACACAGGTGAAGGCAATTCAGCTGTGCTGCCGGAAGGGTTGAAGCCTGGTTCCACCTCTCCTAGACCCATTTAAGAGCTGACTACCAGTGAGGAAGGATCTCTTTTGGAGATCTACTCCACTGGAATTTCCTAAGTGAGCCCAGGATACAAGTAAGTGTCCTATCTTTTCTGCTTTGGTGCAATAGCTATGTAGCCAAGCTCTCTGGTGTATCTCATAACTGTAACATCTGTACATTCATTGATTGTACACCCTCACCTTGCTACAAACTCAAGGTCTCCTTTCTGTAACGTGCCTTTAACTCAACACTGACTTCCAAAGAGAAATGTGTATTTCTGTGCTTTTGTGTACATATCAGAGTACAAGAAAGTTCCCTGTGTGTGGAATTTTTTGACTCAGTGTTGTGAGAATTATTCCAAGTTGTAGAAGGTAATCCTGGGGAGCTGTTTGCACAGGGATGTGCAGCTAGACAGTGAAAGAAGTAAGTGATGGGGCCCTTGGTAGCTCCTGGTGGATCTGGTCTTCTCTTCCATTACCAAGGGCTTCTATTTGTGTTTTGTCTGGAGCTGGAGCTCCAATGCTTGTGATCTGGGTGCAATCAAGTCAATAGAAGTCAGACTCGTTAATCCTGGCCTGCAGGAAGGCTTTGTGGTTGGAAACGGTACAAAATGTCTCCTAATGACTCAAGCAGGGATAGTATGGAAATAAAAAAGTCTGAATACTGAGACTTTGTAAACGAGCATGCTGGTTTGTTCAGTTCCCCCCATCTTTTTTGCTCCCTGTTGTGGACAGATGCGCAGTGTGTATTGATTCCTGAGAGCACTAATGGCATTTGCTTCTTTGTAGAATTAAACTTGACACATACATAATAATGACTTTGCCAGGCTCTGCCTTTAATGAGCTTTTCCAGGCTGTATTTGCAACTCATTGAGGACCTTTTCTGTGGCTGATTTTTCATAAAAAATAAAGTTCAAGCACATTGAGCAGGATTATTGAAGTGATGTGTTAGTGCCTGCATTGCTACATAAACAACTTTAAGGTCTACAACTCGCTGAAGTCACCCCAAATGGAGGCAAAGCAGCTTGTATTGCACTGCAGTGTATTACTGTGCACGGTGCCCACGCTGGGGCCGCCCCCTGCCATTGGAAGGGGGACAGTGGTGTTGTGCCAGCAAAGCCCCCCCAGTAAAGGCTTAGGCATGGGCTGCCCATCGGAAGCTTTGTTCTGTACCTGTCCTCATGGAGTGGAAATCAAAGGCACTGCCTTTATCTGATGTTTTGTAAAAGGGATCTGAAACTTCGATCTCTGTTTTCAAGTGAAGCAGGAGTGTCACTTTGGCTTTGTGCGTGATCCTTATCTCAATTTCCTCATTGAGCAGCAAAATTGTTCCTTCTATTTTCTTTTATTCCCTTCAGGCAAAGAAGGAGAGCAGCTCTGTTGCAGCTGACCTGTCTCACAGCACTGAAGCTGGACGGGAGGCCCCTGTGTTGTGTTGCCCAACTCTGAGGCAGTTTTTCCTCCCTGTCTGGTGCAGACTGTGCACTCTCTCCATATGATCCCTGTCACGTGCTCCCAAGACCTGCAAGTATTTCTCTTATAGTGGGTTACACCCCTTGACAGTATTCTTTGGCTGGGGGTTGTGAATTCTGAACTTCTCTTCCTAGGCCAGGTTATTTCCCTGGAAATATTCAGGAGATGCTCAAGTAAGAGCTGGTTCAAGCACTGCTGAATCTGCAAGGGGAGTCCTATTCAGTTCTGAAAGATTTTGTGTTGTAAGCTGCTTGTCCACAAGTTTCTGTTTTATTTCTTGATGTGAATTAAGACACCATCTTCAATACACGAAGTCCTGTCCCCTGTCAGCCCTCCAGCTGTATTTACATCCCTCTGCTCCATCTGTCCGCGATGGATCTCGGAACAACCTCTCTTGGAATCAGTTTTCAATTTAAGAGGTGCAATTAGCTTAGCTATCTTGTTAGGTATTGAAAGGTGGCAAGCAGGAAATGTGAAGATTTTCATAGTGCATTAACACAGCAGTGATAAATACCCTTAAGAACTCGTTCACTATTTGAACGTGTCACGGGTTGAAGGAGAACTGAAAGGAGCAGCAGAGCCATTCCAGACCTGTGCCTCTGGGAAGGAACCAATTGGTTTTCAGCTCACGCGCTGGAAGAGAGAGGAGAAATCCCCTGGAAGTGCCCAGTGCTCCAAGCAGTGACGTGCAGCCCTTTGCTGCCTGCAGCCAGAGGTCCCAGTTTGCCCTGCAACCTGCAGCAAGCCTTTCAGCACTCCAAGGCTGTCAGATGAACTCTGTGATTGTGCTTCATCCTGTTGAGGTAGAGATTATTGAAAGTGTATTTATTTTTTTTTCAGTCTGGCTTCTAAGAAGCATTGTGCAGCTATCTGCTGTGTCAATCTGTCACACAGACTGTGGCTTTTGAAGGTGTCTGCACAAGAGCTGCTATCCACCCTGCAAAAATGGAGGGGTATGGAGTTTTCATGGCTATGTCCTTTCTGGGCAATGATGGCAGTGGGTCAGATGAATGGAGCTGTCACTATTTCCATTCTTCTCTTTCCTTTTTGCTCTTACACGAGGAAGTCGTGTTGACCAAGGGAAAACTCAGCTGAAGTCTGCACATCAGTGGCGCAGCATATCACAAATAAAAGGTGCCAGATAAATTGGGGCTGCCTGTAGGATTGGCTGCAGTTGGCCGTTTGCATTGGTAGAATCACAGAGTCATTGAGGTTCAAAAAGATCTCTAAGATAATCAAGTCCAACTGTCCGCCTACCACCAATATTGCCCACTAAACCATGTCCCTAAGTACCACATCTGTCCTTTCCTTAGGCACCTCCAGGGACAGATACTCCACCACCACCCTGGATAGTTTGTTCCACTACCTCACCACTCCTTCTGAGAAAAAATTCTTCCCAATTCCCAACCTGAGCTTCCTATCAGGCTGTATGTGCACGAACACACCAAGCAGCAGCTTTAAAGGATGTCTGAAAGTGAAACCGAAGGAGAACAGGATGAAGAATTTCCCAGTGATGAAGGGAAGGTCATCACACGAAAAGCTAAATGTCATATTTGTTGCTCAACTTAGTACCATTACATCTGGAAAAATGTAGCTCTTCAGCTCTGCCACTGAAATAAACTGAAGTCAAACAGAAGTCCTTGAGTGCAAACACACAGATCAGAATTAAATTTCCTTCTAACTCCTGGGTAATAGAGTTCTGTCGAAGCCAGGAGTCAATTAAGTGGATAAATACACACGTAGTTCACTAACACTTAGCATTTCTGCGGTATTTTGCTGAAGTAAGCACTTAATGTGATTATTGTGTTTCAGCCTGATTTAAGATGACAAGTTTTGCATTTCCTAAATATTAATTAGCCCTGAATTTCTATTTATTTAAACTCTGAGGCAGTGAGTGGGTAGTTGTGTGATTTACCTCTACCTCCTGGCACTTATCTCAACTGGGACATTTGAAATGCAATTCTAAACAATTAGCCTTCATGCCTGTCAGCATAAAGAATGAAGAATTGAGCTTGTTTTGTTTATTTGCAGGAATGATCCTCATACAAACTACATCTACAACAAATGCAGGGATCTGCTTGTTTGCAGCAGACTGCAGGATTAGGGGTTTTTTTGATACCCAATAATAGAAAAACAATAGATTTTTAGATAGGGATTTTGTTATTTATTTTTTCAGGGCTGGGCTATCTCCTTAGGGCTGGCTTTTAGGGACAGTACCAAAGGCACATGGTGTTGAATGGCTTGTGTTGTGCTGCTGGGGTAAAGCACTCGGGTGCTTGCCCAGCAGGAAATGCTTTAGCTGGTTGAATAATGCCCTTGGAATGGGAATGAGAGAGATGGATCTGCAGTAGTCCACTGCTGGGCTGGGGCTGCTGCCATGCATGTGAAGAAATCCATTTCCACAACAGGAGAGCCCTTGCCGTATAGAGAAGATTTTCCAAATCAGACTCCTTTGTAGCACCTTGGGGCAGGCTGGATTCCTCCAATAGCTCTGAAACCCTCACCCCGTGGCATCCAAGAACTCACAGGCCAACTGTGAAAACATCATTCAGCTCACCGGCGGCACAGGGGGAAGATGGTATTTAAAATCTTCAGATGGGCAGAGATTAAAGGACTTTGGACACCCAGAGCTCCTTTGGAATTCAATGGGAGTTTGTGTACTCAGCAACAAAAATAGTAATATTTTTATAGAGCAACGCCGACTGGAGCATTGCAAATCTATCCCCAGGACTCCTGCTCCATTTCTCCAATCCAATTATGGCCCTTGTTGCGCGTGCTTTGCTATTACTCTATATGTAATGAGGTGATGGTTGAAGTATTTCAGCTGTAATGGACGAGTGGCAACCAATTTGCCTTGACACATGCCTTTCCCTTTTAAATACTTTCTCTCTTTTAAACACTGAGAAGCTGAAATATTTGTCTGTCTGGGGAGGAAATGGGTTACAATCACAGCAGAAGTATGTCACCAAGTGGTCATCTGTCTTGCCGACGCGTATTAAATGCTTCGGATCATCTTCTGTTTTGGAGACTTATTTTTAGGTCTGTACTTTTTGAATGTGTTATTGGCCACCAGTCAGAGAACAGCAGGGTTAATGTAGCGCTTGGTGGAGTTTGCCCATCTGCTCCAGTTTCCATCCAACCATGGAGTTTTATGAGAGCTCTCTAGGAGGGTTTTGAGTTATCCAATTTGTAGTATTCTCTAATATAATCAGCTTGGTAGCACTTGAAAAGCTCTCTGTGCCAAACAGGAGGCTATAAAATTTGTGGTGAGACAAAGGAGCCTGGAAATCTGAGATGTTTTTACATTTTCAGGAATTACGTTTATTTCGATTCATAGCGAAATTAGAGGCTGGAACAGATGGAGTGATTGTACAGTAAGATGAGATTAGCTGAGGCTTTGACATTCTATCTAAAGAGGAATTAGAAGGCAGACACTACTGATTGGGTTTTAATTTGGGGTCTAGTTATGTTTTATTTTCCTTGTTATTTATGTCACTGGTAGCACATCCATAAACACTCTTACCCAATCCTATTGACAAGACAGAACATCCAGACTTGTTCAGTTGCATACACGCCATCTTGTGAAATTCACAGACTAAATGCTCTGTCTGTTTTACAGAGCAGTGTGTGTTGGCAGAATGCACGTATCTTACAGAGAGGATTTTGGAAGACAGGTTGTGGTGGTGGATTGAAGTCAAGAGGTAGAGGGGTGACCTAAGCTTTTCAGTTCACCTCAGTTCAGTTCACCTCTTCCCTCATCTGTAATGCTGTTTATTTTAATGATTCTCCTTTCTTCAGGGTTTTTCTTCTTGAGGTAGGCTTGACCCAGCAGCGCTGTGGCTGCCCTCAGTGTTTGTGCTGGTTGGGTATGGGCACAGATGTTGCACATGGATGGGCTGCTGAGAGTGGAAGAGTGAACATCTCTAATGAGTGTTAGATGCCTTCTGAAGACAAGGAGTGCCTGTTTTATGTTATGATGTCAATCTTCTCTCAGTTTCCATCAACAGTAAAGCTATAGAATTAGAAGAAATACAGCAATTGAGTTTCTTCCATACTAATATATATGGGCAGCCATTTGGAAATTGAGATTCTATTACAGAAACCCAATTAAATCACTGATCACCATTGCCCCCCGCCCCAAGCTATGATATCATCACAAAGCATGGTGACTTTTGTCCAAGCAGCCACCATGAAGTCAGCACAAATTTTCCATCAAAATTGGACAACTGCGAAGATTAAACCAAAGAGTGCTGGAGGCGTTAGATCCGTGCTTCCTAATTAAATGCATTTTTCTTGTGGAGTGGGAGGGCTTTTTCATTTCTCTGTTAACCAGCACTGGGCCTGTACCCACATCCTGTGCAGAAAAAAAAAAAAGCCCTAGAAAGAGAGGCTTCCTCTTCTCATTAAAATTGTAGGCAGTCATTAAGAATCTGGCCTTTTCCTTGGTGGAGAGCACAGCTGGTTTTGGGAAGTTCACAAGTGCTCTGCTAGCATGTACCTGATGGAGGGCAGCTAACAGGAACCGAAAGGTGTAATAATCAGCTGGAAAGGGGCAAAGCCACTCTTATAAGTAGGAGAGATTGAGAGATGAGGTCAGAAAGCTTGTGAGAAATGGCATCAAATCTGTACATGTTCTCCTCTTCATGCTATTGCAATTCTTGTCCATTCTTTGAAACAAAAGGCCCAGAGCAAACAACTCTTGTTCAAACTGATTTTAGGATTTGAGGTAATTGTGTTTTTGTACAGTTATTGAGTTTGGGCTCTGTGGGCAGGGACAATGAGGAGCTGGCTCTGCAGAGTTCTGTGCTCTGTTGCAGGGAGCAGGGCAGTCATCCAAGGCAGCACAGTCTGTAGCTCTAGCACCACAAAGTGGCATTTGCAACCTAGTGCTTTGTTCAGAAAGGTTTGCTGGATGCACACTGAGCTGAAGGGCGTGAAGATACCTCACCTGTGTGATCCTATCTATGGATCTCTACAGAAATTGCCATCAAACCCTAAGTACCCATTGACATAACTGGGAGAGGTTTAAATACAGGATACATCCTAGGCAGTCCTGAGGCTCCTGTTATCTGGTCTTCAATTGGAAAAATGCTTTTTAATCACCGGCGTGAATGGGAGTCGTGGCATACAGAAGCTCAGTAACTCACCCAAGGATGCACAAAATGGGTTTCTATGTTGCATCTCACTCGTGCACTGGTGTCTTCCTGGCTTCCTCTAAAGCCTCTCAGCCAAGTCCAGTCCTAGGTTTGGAATGCGTATTTCAAAGTCCTCCCTCAGAGTTGAACCTCTCACCTTTGCAACATGGGAAACACTGAAACAGCTTTATGGAAGGAGTGAGATGCATCCAGAAAGACATCAAGGCACCTGAGCAGGCAGAGCTCTCACAGTAGCTGGGCAGGTGGGCTTTTGTCCCCCTCCTAAAATCAGTGTTTGGTTTGGTTTGTATACCTGTGGTGTATCATTTTCATGGTTTGTTTGTTTTTAAAGCCTCTGTGACGTGCATTTCTCCTCTGCAGGGTTTGCTAGGAACTATCAGCTCTTGACAGCTGTCCCCTAGGACCAGCAGGCACCGAAGAGATCTGGGTTGCACTCTCCTCCTTGCCTTCCTTTCTCTGTACCACTTGTGTTTGCAGCTGGATGCCTAACGTGATCAGACATCCCGTAATAGATTGTCTCTGCATCCTGCCAAGCACTGCTGAAGTGCTAAGACAGGCAGTTTTGCCTCTGTCTCTCTTTGCCCCCATTCTTTTCTGAGCAGTTTTCCACCTGGCAATTAGCAGAGACTGGTGGGAAAGGTTCTCAAAACAGGGAGGAACCATTGTGACACAGTAGAAGGAAATGGAAAAGGATTATTTCGTATTTCTTCTCTTTCTAGCTTAATGGCAACTGTGACAGCTAGGGCTGGTAATTGAATCACCTCTCTGAGACTCCACAATTAAATGATATTATTATCATTTTCCATGGATAGGGGAGAAAATGTTTAGAGTTCAACAAATGGAATAAGACACCCATGAGCCCTTGATCTTCCATGGGAAATGAGCATTTAAGTGATCCTTGGAAACCATTCTCTGTAGAGTTAGCTTCTTGGTGGAAGAGGCCATAGTGTGGTTGAGTTCCTGCTACTTATATTTGTGCAGGAGAACCCTTCTAAAGGCAACTTGACCATGGTTTATCACCCTCCATGTAGGGAGGCCGTTTCTGCTCATAGCAGACTATTTAATCTATCTGACAAAAGCATAACAAGACCCAAGAGTAACAACCTGAAAGCAGCCAAGTTCAGGCTAGACATTAAATTTATATTTTTAACAGTCTGAGTGGTTAACCCTGGAAATAACTTGACAGATTCTCTATCACTGAGCTATATTGATACTGTCTGATGCAGGCTGTACAGAGATACCAGATCTGGCCTCCCTGCTGCGAACAGCATTGCACTAATTATTCCAAACTGATGCTGCAGTGCTGTGGCTGCTGAGCTTCTGGGACAGAAGCTGGATCTTCCACATGGATATGTGCTGTTCTTTTGGACATATCAGCTTTTTCAGAGCTAATTAGGCTTTGTCTGAGACAGCACTTCATTGCTCAGTACAACCAGTTACAACTGAGGTCAAGAGCTTTAGATTAAAGAAATTGTAGGCATGAACTTGAGAATTTCTTGCTGCAGTTCTGGTCTGGTTGTTGTGAACGACAGGGGGAAAAAAGGGGTTATCCTGATGAGGTGGTATTATTATTATTATTTTGCATTTTAATGTCCTTCTTGAAAACCTTTGTTCTTTTAAATGCCCTAAAATTTTTCTTGAAAGCCCTCCCAAGCTGCAGTCTCTGTGTAGCTGTTTTAATCTAACAACACTCAGTGCTCTCTGCCCATTGTGACTACAGTGTCATCCTAATTTCCTCCTTCTGTCAGGGGCCCTTCTCTAGGGACATCAGTTCTAGAAAGTCCCATTGCTTTGAAATGTGTGATACTCAAAGCTTGCAACCACCGTGGCCCAGTCAGTAGCACTGCATTATTTCAAAGAAGAGGAGGGTTGATGCCACCTCTTGGCTTAAGTCTCATTGCTGGAATTTCAGTGCTGTTATTCCTCTTCAGTAGGAACTTAGGACTGTGCAACTGTGCAAAATTTTGATTGTATTCATGTCAAAGCAATACTAGTTTCTGGCTCAGCCTGTCTTGCTATTGCCACCCCAGATTTATTTGCATATATATATATATTTTTTAAACATAGATGTATTTTTAAACTACCAAAGCATTGCGTACTGCTTATCTGATGTTATTTCAGTAAGGAAAATGATAGGATCTTTACAAAGAGAAACCAAAGTCAGGTGCCTGCAAGGAAACTCTTGCTTCAGTCACCCATTCATTGCCAGTCTCAACAGAAAGCTTGACAACTTGGTCAGCAGAGATGTTCAGATATAGCAAAAAATAGT